ATAAAAATATAAACAATATATAAAAATATATGGTAAATAAGAAAATTTTTAAGAGACTAAAAACATGAGTTCAAAACAATCGTAACATGACTTTCCATGCCAAAAAAATTTCATATTCAATTTTTTAAATAAGAATTATATTAAAGATTTGAAATCAAAAACTAAATGACTAAATTTATGAAATAGTACATATTTAGAAACAAAAAAATAATTCTGATATATCAAAGAAAACAATGTCAAAAATTGCAATGAATAATCAGCTGGTTAATACATCTTTAAAAAGTTCGAAATATTAAGAAACATTATGAATTCATGAATTGATTTTTCACTTATTGACGAGAATGTATACATAGTAATATTGTGTAATATATAAATAAAGAGGTTTAAAATAATTTGATAAGCTTATGTTATTCTCCATATTATATCTAAATAAAGAGATTTATATAATACACTATTCTCTCCGGTATATTTTTAAAAAAAATCTAATAGATTAGTTATGAATTATTAAATATAATCGATTATTCTTACAAGATGTCATATTCGATCAATTGATTTACTAATATTAATTAAAAAAAGAGAGAAGATTCTATTATATTAAAAATTAGATTTAAAAATTAGTATAATTATCTTCTTCAAAACAATATGAACCAAAACAAAAAAACTTACAGTATAATATATATATATAATCTACAAATATTCTTCTAAATTTTTATTAGAAAAACGATCAAATTTAAATATTTTACATTAAAATAAATAGTTTTGATTTATATTCTCATTTATTTTTTATATTTTTTTTAAAATATATTTTCTATTCCTATAATTTTTATCCCCCAAATATCATATATCATATATAATCCCTAAATCAATAAAAACAAAGATAATAAAATAAAATTAAGTCTTAAATCAAAACAATGATTTTGATACAAAATAAAATATTATGTTTTACATGTACATCAGTTTTTAAAATTAACTTCAAAATTAAAACAATGCGAAATTATTGCAAATAAATACGAGATAAAAAAAACTAAAAAATAAACAAATGCTAACAACTAATCTATAATAACAAATACATATAATTTTATGCTATGAACCATGTAGAAAAATAGAAAAATTTATAAATAAATGAAATATATTCTTTATTAGTGATTTCAAGATTTTACAAAATAAAAACATATACAAGTTAACAAAAGATAAATTTCATATTTATTTTACAGAAAAATTGTACTGTTAGAAAGATTGATATCATTGTTTATGATATAGTGTAAGAGAGATGCTAGAAATGTCAATACCACAAATTGCTAGCGTTAGTAAACAAAATATAAGATCTAAGAAATTTGCCAAAGTACAAAAGAAAAAATATATACTTAGATTTTAAAATCGATGTATTTTTTATGTTGCAATTATTATTAGAATTTTGGTCATAATAGAATGATCAAATTTATAATTGGTATCGTCAAATTAGACAATTGCTTTCCATCAATTATTTTAAAAGTAATTTTTCCATATTTTATTTAAGTTGACATCTATGTAATTTTAAAATTTACGATATTTTACTTAGTTTCTAACTAACGTATAATTTCAATTTTAAAAATAACAATTATATCACAAAAAACTTTTCATATGAGATGATCTTGCGGTTGAAATTCTTTCACAAATGAATATGGTGAATGTCAGAAAAAATACTTTAGTCGCTACTGATACAAATCCAAAGTTTATCGACAATAATTATTATATAAAATAATATTAGTATTATATTAAGTTTACTAATATTTTTATGAAACAAATGTTTTATCACTCAACACATCATCATCTATAAACATTTATATAGATAAATAAATTCAACATCGTCAAAATATTCTATGCCAAATACTTAAATCTTTTAGAATTTTGTTACATAGATAGGAAAAAAACACTAAAATCTTTTAGAATTTTGTTACATAGATAGGAAAAAAACACTAAAATCTTTTAGAATAAATTGATCGAGGGGGTATACGGATGAATCGGACGCACCAGAATGAGAGGGATCCGAGGGTTGTGTAGGTATGGGACGACACAATCTAAGATAACTTAAAGGAATTAATTGAGTTACTCATAGCAACAAGATGTATCAACCTTTTCGGTTACCCATCTCGAGAGAACCCCAAAGTTAAGCGTGCTGGTCTTGGAGTAGTCTTAGGATGGGTGACCTCCTGGAAAGTACTTTCAGGGATGTGTGCATGTGAAGACAAAACACGCTAAAAGGTCCTGTGTTGGTATGTGGGGATAGCTCTATCATTCCGTAGCGACCTTGGGTCGTTACATCAGTGGAGACAGAGATTCTTTATCTGCAAAAAAGAACATATGTGGATTTTGAGATTATTTATCTGACTTTGGTCCAAAACTTAGTTTTTTTTGCAAACTATTCTCAAGTGAATTAAAGAAAAGAGCTCAAGTCATGAACAAGAATTGAAAAAAATCACCAAAAAATGTATTAAACGAACAAGTGAAATATCTCATGAAAAATTATTATTTAATATCGTGTTGATGAAAAATATAACGTTTTAGTAATATTTAGTCCATATATATGTATGAATGTATGTATGTATTTTATAATCTATTTTTTATCTTTTATGAATAATTATATATAATAATAATAATTCCCTACATGCCAGTGATATGTTATCGAATCTGTTAAATAATTTACGGTGTTAGAACAAAAAATATGTTTATGGAAAAAAATTATAAAGTTTAAAAATATATGTATTTATATAGATTTGTTTTTGAAAGTTAATAATTTTTAAATTATTTTTCTATATAAATAATATATATGATATAAAATAATATTATTATTTTAAATCAATTAACAGTTTTATAATATTTATCTTATTATTTTCATGATTAAGTTGTTTTATTACCCGACATATCGTCATATATAAAAGAATTGTAAAACTCAATCTAATCAAAACGTTCCATGAATTGTTTTTCAATTATTTAATTTAAAAATATCAGATTAATTGTTATTCAAAATTAGTGAATGCGACTGATAATCTCAATATCTCTAAGATTAGAGTCGTTTAACAAAAGAAATGAACACTATGACAACGTATCCACCTGGATGTTGTACATGATCAAAATGATCAGACATAATCCATTATATTTATTTTGTAAAAAATAATCATGATATTATGCCGAACTGGAAATTCTCCATCCTTTTGGCTCTCGAAGTTGTTTCCGGTGGATGATTGTTGTTCTGATTTGTACATGATATTAATAAAAAATAAGTTTTATTTGAAATTTTTGTTACAATTCGTTTTCCAATTTTCAATCTTAGAAACAAATGGTTTTTATTTTGACTTCGATTTTAAAGCCTCCATTGCAGGGTCTGCCCCTGGAGGAGGAGGAGAAGGGGACTTGGTCGAGTCCGGTGATGGCGAGAGACTATAGGCGGATGATCAACTGGAGGTGAGGCACCATGTTGATGTGGTGGGCTTGAGAGAGGTGGTAAGGGAAGAGGTTTGGAGTCCGATGGAGCCAGAGGAGGAGACGACATAGTTGAAGTCGATGGACTCTGGAATCAGAGGAACAGAATCGGTGGGTGATGTTGATGGCGAAGAACTCAACGAATTACATGTTGATTCTAACATTTTTTACAAGTAAATTATTAATCTAAATTTTGTAAATTCATGGTTTTTATAGAAATTTTTATCTATCTCAGTGTTTTTTAATAAATAATAAAAGAGAAAATCCCAAAAAAAAAACACTAAACTTTCAAATTTTGACCAAAAAAATATTGAACTTTTTATTTTATCAAATAAACATGAATCTTTTTAAGTTTGACAAAATAAACACTTAACTCTTCAACGATTGTAAAAAAAACAAAATGACTGACGTGGCACAATGAGATGCAAACACGTCATATTATTTTACTTAGTTTTTTTGAAAATCGAAAAAAATTCATGTATTTCTTTGGATCACTAAAAAAGTTATGTATTTTTTTGATAATCGGAGAAAAGTTCATGTATTTTTTGGATCACTTAAAAAGTTCGGTGTTTTTTTAGATTCGTTTAAAAAGTTTAATGTTTATTTGATAAAAAATAAAGTTCAGTGTTTTTTATCAAAAATGAAAAATTGAATGTTTTTTTGGGATTTTCCCATAATAAAATGTATGGAGATAAATTTAAAAATAACGTTATGAGAAATACGTTGGTATAAAAGAAGCAAATCGAGTAATAATATCATTGTCATTGTCTCTCCTCTACTGGATGAGAAATACCTTTCGTCGAGCGTATTATAAACTCGGGTTTAGAGGGGTAAGAGAAGCTATATTTTGGCCGAGAGAAAATAATCAACCATGTCTATGCAAGTCAAATAATATAATTTCTATATATATATATATATATATAACATTTTCATTAAATTCAAATAAATTTATTTATAATTTTATTAAGGTGTATTATTTTTACAATATTTATATCAATATACTTTATAATAATAATCGATATAATAACCCGCCCATCGCGCGGGCTCCCCACTAGTCTTTAAGAAAAAATGTGTATATGGAGCAAGGACTGGCTTAAGAGTTATCAGACATTAAATTTTTGTTTTTAAATAAGATTATTTTTTTTCAATGACAACTCAACACAAAGAATTGGGAGATTATCCGTTTTTATTTGTTAATATATTCTCGATGATAAATATAATCATTTTCTTTCCTATACCCTGAATTCCAAATTCGGATTCACTGTTAAAATTCACGATAATAAACTCACAGATTTACAAAAAAAATAAGGCATTTAAAATTCGATAGAATTTCGGAAAATCTACATTTTATGCCCAAAAACAAAAAATCATCGATACTTTGCCTAACAATAATTTTGATATATCTAAATAATTATCGAGAACTGTTTTTTTGTCTCAACTCCTTTTTTTTTTTTTGCAAAATAAGAACTAATATATATACGTATATATATAGAGAGAGAAAGGAGAATAATAATATAATTAAGAGGAAAATAATAAAATATTAAACCCGAAAATAAGCAGGCCCTAATCACTCTGTCTGCAGTCTCCGTCTCTTCGCCGCCTACGCTCTCCTTGTGGCGTGTATCTCTCTCCCCACTCCGCCACCATTTTTATCTCCTTCCGACCAAGTACGAGGTTTGTGTTTTACCCCACTGATTCTAATCAGTTTAGTTTTCGTGAAGAAGCTCCGTGAATTCGCCAAATGTTCACAGAATCGTACTGTTGAATCCTTCGTTTCCCGCTCATTCTCTTGGTTATTTTAGTTTCCCAGACGAAAAGATATCGCTTTTCGATTGTTATTTTCGGTATTCCGTTGAAAGTAGCCGTCTTTCGTGACATTTTCAGGCTTATAATTACTGGGTTTTGTTGTTCGATTGCAGAGCCTCATTGGATGAAACATGGGTACACATTGGGATTCTTGGTTTTTCTAGTTTGCTTGAATCTCAGTTAGTTTATCATTCTGTTTAGTAGGGTTTGTAGAGGACCGATATTTGGTGTGTTTTATTCGTCGACATATCCTGGTTTGAGGCTATAGAGCAAGGGATGGCGGCTTCTGCGATCAATTTTCATTTCTCATTGAGAAACGAGGTCTCTTTGTTAAGGGTGAGGAATCAAGATCGTGTATATGGCGGGATTAGGTTTAAGAATCGAATCAAAGAAAGATATGGTCCGGTTCTGCACATTAGGAATGATTCTTCTGTAAGGCAAAGATCGAGGCTTGTGGTTATGAATATGTCTCATTCGCATGTTGAGGCACAACCCGGCAATACGACTACTGTGCAAACCAAAAAGAGAATGTTAGAGGCTTGGACACTGATCAATCGTTGAAGTTCGATAATGGAAATGGTGGGGATGGTTTTGATGGTAGTGACGGTAATGGGGGACTTAACAATGGTGGAGGTGGAGGAGGAGGAGATGGAAAGGGAGGAGATGGTGAGGATTACGAAGAAAAGGAGTTTGGACCCGTTATGAAATTCGAAGAGGTAATGAGAGAGACGGAAGCTCGAGGGGCCACTCTTCCTTCGGACATGCTAGAGGCTGCCAAGACCTTCGGGATTCGCAAAATTCTTCTCCTTAGGTACTTGGACTTGCAGGTAAAAACTTTGTTTGGTTTTCTCTTGATTCACAATTTCTGTGGAGTTTTTTTCTTCTTCTTATGTTCTATGAATTTATGGCTTCTTATTCTTTTGTTCTAGGGATCAGCTTGGCCACTTGGTATTGCAATAAGATCGTGGTCAATGCTCCGTAACAGAATGTTGGCTGACCCATCTTTTCTCTTCAAGATAGGAACAGAGGTAAAGTGGCTTTCTCTTAAAGAACGATTCTTCAACAAAGAACTTCACATTCAAAGTTTCGATAAAGCATAAGGGTGTCTTTACTTCCTCTCTTTCTCTCTCTCATGTCTCGGAACAGCACTTCCTTCTCATAATTTGAATTTCTGTAAGATAATCAATCGAGAATAACGAGCACTTGATGTATACCGATTTCAGATAGTCATCGATTCTTGCTGTGCAACTGTTGCGGAAGTTCAAAAGAGAGGGAAGGACTTTTGGGCGGAGTTTGAGTTGTATGTTGCGGATCTTTTGGTCGGAGTTGTGGTCAATGTTGCTCTTGTCGGTATGTTGGCACCTTATGTTCGTTTTGGCCAACCCTCCTCATCGAGTGGTTTCACGGGACGTATGCTACGTGCTTATAATGCTCTTCCTAGCAGGTTATTCTTCCACCTCATCAAGATAACGCAATCGCCACATTCAAAATGCATTTCCGATTTACAAGTCATCTTCATGAGAGATACTCGTTTTTTTTTCACAAACCTTTTTTAAGAGAGATTGCGATGTTGTAACGGTTTGATGTGCTGAAATCTATGCAGTGTGTTTGAAGCTGAAAGACCCGGGTGTAGATTTTCGGTGCAGCAGAGACTTGCTACGTATTTCTACAAGGTATTATTAGATGATTCACCTATTACATAACAGTTGTGATGGTTTGTCCTGAGGGTTTTTTTGCGAGCTTTGGCCAATGTTCTTTACACTTTCAGGGTATAATGTATGCTGCAGTTGGGTTCGGGTGTGGAATCATAGGTCAAGGCATTGCAAATATGATCATGACGGCGAAACGGTATACTTTCTCTCTTGAGAGGCATCTCTCTGTTTTCTTCCTGTGAAACCCCTATCTATCCAAAGAAGGGTTACTCAGTTTCAGCTGTGCCTTACGGTTTCGGTTTGTTTT